CCCCAAAACCCCAAAACCCCAAAACCCCATTAGTAAAATCGAAAAGAAATTTAAGAAAATTCAAAAATAAATGGAAAAATAAACAGAATAAGAATAAGAAAGTGAAGTAAAAATTCAAGATACAAAATCTCTTGAGCAAGTCTCGCAAGAATAGATTATTAGCATGGAATAGCCTAAAAAGAAACTTTCAAAAGCAATCCCCTTAGATCAATCATAGTAATAGTAAAAGCCAAAAGCATAAATAGTTCTTAATACTAGAGAAGTTAGATATCCAGTAATTAAAAAAATTGCAAGGCAAGTATTTGGGTGGAAGATTTCTAAATGTCGTAATCCAGAAGATGACTGGGATATCTTGTGGACAGACTAGGTATTTTCTGCTGAAAAATTATAAGGAATGAAGCCATATCAAATGATTAATCACTTTCCAGGCATGTATCTGATAGCTTTGAAGCATAATTTGGGCAAATACTTGAAACTTATGCAAAAGGCTTTTCCTGAAGAGTTTAAATTCTTCCCAAGAACATGGATAGCTCCTTATGAATTCTTCGATTTAAACAATTTTATTAGTACAAGAAAAACTCCTCTAACTATGATTGTCAAGCCATAAAACTAATGCTAAGGCAAAGGTATATTTATAACAAGAAAAGTGGATGAAATTCCAAAGGATAAATGCCAGGTTGTACAGTAGTACTAGACTAATCCCTACCTAATTAATAACAAAAAGTTTGACCTAAGGATATATGTTCTTGTGACATAGGTTGAGCCAACATTAAATTGTTTCATATATGGTGATGGACTAGCTAGATTTGCTACAGATGAATATAATAGTGCACCTGTCAATAATTCTAATTTATTCATGCATTTAACAAACTATGCAATTAATAAAAATAGCGATAAATTTGCAGAAAATGAATAGGATTTTAAAAAGAGATTGGTCGAGATTTACGATTTATTCAAAGAAGAGGGCCATAATATAGAAGAATTAAAATCTACAATCAAGGATATGATTATCAAGACTTTAATGAGTATTTAACCTTAGTTAGCTCATAATTATAAATCATGCACTCCTAGCCATGCTGAATTCAGATCATGCTTTGAACTTTTAGGGTAAGATTTATTTATGATTGATAAGTAATATTAGTTTCGATATTTTAATTGATAAGAAATTGAAGCCATGGCTACTTGAAGTAAATCATGCTCCTAGTTTTAATGATGATACAGAAGTTGATAAGATAGTAAAGACCAATTTAATTACAGATACTTTCAGACTTTTAGATGTAAGCCTTCAAAACAAACAAAGAATTTTAAACAATGAAAAGAAACAAGTTGCTAAAAGAAGTGAATAAGAAAATCCTGATGATTCTGTCCCTAATAATTAGAAAAATGAAAATAATGATTTTAAGAAATATGAAAACTATCAATTGAAAAATCTAGGAAATTATGAGAAAATATATCCATTAAATTTGCAGACAGAGGAGGCATAAATTAAAAATGCAATTTATGAGTAGATCAGGGAGGAGGCTCACAAAGTTTGGGTCTCTCAAACAGGAGTTAAAAAATCTGAAGAGAACAAGAAAAAGCAAGTTTAGGATATGAAGGATATGAAAGTTATAATGAAAAATAGATTAGCGAAATCTTCTCAAGATAGCTTCCAAAAAGATTAACCAAAAAGAGGCGAAAGCAAAGTTAAGCCTTAACTTTCAAAGGTGAAAAGCTAGCTCAGTCAAAATATGCATCAAAGTGTAAACTCCGCGATTAATAAGAATATTAATAGTAGCGAATAGGATTACAGTAATTACACTCAATAAAGTACTAAGCCATCGGTTTCAAGTAGTTAATCTTAGAGAATGCAAGTAAGCATCGTTTAATAGCAGTTTTAGATGTATGAGCCAGAAGTAAAAATGCTAAAGCCACCTATTAATAGAGGATAATCACAAAAGAGTAATTTAAAGCAATAACCAATCTTCTAACAGCAATAGACTTTTGAAATCTAGAGTCAAATGCCTCTCTAACCTATCATTAAAGAAGATCCCCCAGTTGAAAAGAGATATTACATTGATACCAGCAAGTATGATTGGATCCTGCCGGATATTAAGGGTCAAAATTTTTACAAAGCACCTAAATAGACAGGCCCAAAACAGGCTCTTCAAAATTAAGTTTATGAGTTTAGTATGCCATTTGGAGATCTTGGTAAGGCTTAGCAAGAGCCAAGTAAAAAAGTAGGATAAGAAAATAGAAAAACATTTAATGCAGACAATAAAAAGTAAATATAGATTAATAAGAAGACCACAAGTATAACTTAAAAGTCTTTTCAAAATAACGATAAATTTTTATATATGTGATAAAACTACATTATATATTTTGAATTATAGACTTCTTATAAAATGCTCTATTAAAAGATATCTGGGGTTTTGGGGTTTTGGGGTTTTGGGGTTTTGGGG